TTAACTTTGAAAGACTAAAGAATCATGGTAAAAAAGCCATGGATTGTATGTGTAGTATTCCCCTAGCGCTGGAGTTCTGCTGTTCTCATTGATCGGTAAACTTGGTCTTAGCTGGCTGTTCTTGCTGATCTTCTGGGGGGAGGAGCCTGTTGCTGTGGTTCCCAAATGTCTTTGCCAGAGGTGGAATTGCCCGCCCTTGCCGGGTCCAGGCTAAGTAATCTGCTCGGGTTTGCTCTCAGGAGCTTTTGTTCCCTGCAAGCTTTCCGTACAGCTTTGGAGGCCGAGACTGGAAATGGCGACCTCCCAATCTCTGCCCCCGAGGAGCCAAGAACTCAGGGACCCAGAGAAAAGCAGTCAGTCACTCCTGTCTCCCCGGTCTCCGGCCACACTCTGTGCTCACCCGGCCTGTGACCGCGCATTTCTATCTCTGGCACCCGACTCGGTGTGGAGTCTCCAAACCCAGCAGATCCCTGTGGTGCACTCCCACACCACTCCTCCTGGGGAAGGAAGGGGAGTCTCCCTGGATCTGCTGCTTGTTGGGTCCCTGCTGGAGGAGCAGTGGCCCGACTGTGCCCCGGATCACGGTTTATGACAATCCCTAGCTGAGAGCCCGTGCCTCGGCTCCGTCTCTGCAGCCAGCTTCCCCGCTCTGATACCTGGGAGCTCTGCCGCAGTCAGGCACCCCCTGTCTTTCTGTGACCCCGAGGGTCCTGAGACCACACTGTCTTGCGAGGGTTCCACCCCCCGCTTAGCCACTGGAGCGACGTCCCTTAGCGGAGCAGACTTCTAAAAGTTCCGATTTTGTGCTCCCCGGCTCTATCACTTGCCAGAAGTGGCCAACGGAGGCCCCTCCCCCGCCATCTATCCTCCCGAATATCACCTCGGATTCACTTCTCTGCACATCCGACCTTCCAGAATGTGGGCGCTTTTCGGTTCAGAGAGTTGCTGCTATTCTTTTCTTCAATCTCCTGTTGAGTTTGTAGGTGTTCAGAATGGTTTGATCCCTATACAGCTGAATTCCTGAGATCAGACGAAATCCAGGTCTCCTACTCCTCTGCCATCTTGCTCTGCCTCATTCCCAGAGCCTTTTGGTGGTTGGTGTTGAAAGTATTTTCTGGAGGTGAATTTAGTTTTGATGGAAACCTCGGGAGGATGAAGCCTGGCCACTCCCTACGAACCCACACAGAGCCTGTGCCCCTGACCAATATGGCAGTGCCCCCGGACTGACAGTTTTAAAGTACTATCCACAAACAGAGGTCAGTTTTCTCATGAGTGGTGTGGTATTGATATAATTTATTATTTTTTCCTTCTCTTCCAAGCGGCCTTCTTAATCTAGGCTTTCTAATGATAGTTATAGCTAATATTTGTCTTAAACAATTCTTATGTACCAGACACAGTGCAAAATGCTTTACACACATCACCTCATTTAGACATCAGTTAAAAGAAAAAACCTTGTCCTTTTATTTATTCTACTAATGAGGAAACTGAGACATAAGGGGGTGAAGGTGTTTATCCAAGTTCTGAATGCCAAGTAGTTGTAGAGCTGGAACTCAGACACTGGGCTGTCTGATTCCACAGCACATGCTCTTTGCCAGAGGGCCATATTGTGGGTTCAAATGACACAGTGCTAAGGTGCAGACCAGGGGCACCTGGGTGACTCAGCTGGTTCAGTGTCCAACTCTTGATCTCAGCTCAGGTCTTGATCTCAGGGTCATGAGTTCAGCCCCGCATTGGGCTCCAGAGAGCCTACTTAAAAAATAAAAATAAATAATAAGTTGCAGACCAGTACATGACTGCTATATGGATATTACACCAATAAGTGAGGATGAAGAAACCACAATGACACAAGATTCCTGTCCATTCCAACATAGGTCTACTGGAAACTGGCTTCTTTCTCTTTTCTCAATCCTTCCCAGGGCCCTAGATGTTAAATCCACAGGTTTTGTACACATAGAAAATGAGCAGTGATTTCTGAGAAGATGAAAAATGATTGGGGCTCTTATTGGATACTGATTTTGCTGGTGGGAAGAAGGGAAAACACAAGAGAGAATGTCTAGATGATCTTGACTTTCCCACAATGAAATCTAATTGTAGGAAATGATTAGGGCAGTCATTGTGCATTGGGAGATCTGGACGTGGGGGAGGGTAAAGGAAGAAGTAGCACCGTTTGTGAAGCAGCTGATGAAGGAACATAGGTTAAGATAAGTTGCTAAACTGTCAACTAGTATCAAAATAAACAAATGTTGTTTAAAAAAGCTAATAGATGGCTGGGGACCCCGTCTGATGATGGCTAATTTGATTTCCAAACAAATGTTAGCTCTTAAAAGAACTATCAGTCTGAGCAAAGATACCAGCCTGGTACACCGATTCATCCATCAGAAAGAAGAATCAGCAACTGTGCAAAAATCATGTGCCATCAGCATATGATATGTTGAACATAATTAACTGTCTTCTCTTGCTATGGGCAATACCCTGGCCTTTAGAAAGCAAGGTGTTGACCATTCACCCAAATTAAACTTTAAATTCAACCAACATCAAATATGTTACTTTATAGCTAATTTCAAGATATTTTACATGTTTGTGTGTGTTGTTTGGCATTTTAGATCTTTGGGTACTTCTCCTCTGAAGAAGATTCTCTTGCTTCCCAGATGGATGAAGAAAATTTGGTTTTTCTTGTTTCCAGAAAACAGCGAGTTGTAATTTCAGGTGATATTTTTAATTTCCTTTCTAAATTAATATGGGCTTTAACATTTTCTCAAAAAAAATTTTGGAACTAAAACAGAAATTATACCTGCAGTTGAGTTTGAAATATGATCATTGCTCTGAGGGACACTAAATAAGGAATATGAGGGGGAAACAATTCACATTTTTCTGGAAATGTTCAGATCTTGAGTTAAAGCTCTGTACAGTGGCATCTCAATACTGCATGTCTAAGCACCAAATGGAATCACATTTATTTTAAAATTTTCTTAAAATGAAAATTTCAAGTTTTTAGTAAGTAGAACTCTTTCCCATTCTTCCCTAGATTATCACATGGAGGTTTTCCTGATATCTATAAAACTGTGAACTTGGGCCAATCACAAAGGGGGGGATCATCTCAGTTCAAGAAGTCTCAAGAACATATGGCATTTCTTATTAAATTTGATCCTCTCCATCCCTTTCCACTGTTGACACTTCCAGTTTTCTTCCCTCTAAGGAAGAAGTCCAGGAGGAGGAAAGGCGAACCCCAGAATCTGCCCTGTCCTCCATTTCATCCCGGATTCTGAGACGAAGCATGTAGTGTAGATCAGATCTGGTGTTCCTTAAAAAAGCACCTAAACTTACTGCAGTCATTTGTGAACCAAGGCCACCCTTGTCTTCCACCCTTCCTCAGCCCAACCGTTAGACCTCACCAGAGCCTATCCTCAAGCCATGGAAATGATCATCAAAGAACAGAAGCTAGGGGACTGTCCCTGCTGCCACCACCCCTTTGTTGGGGAGAGAAGGGCCAGTGGGCAGGGGAGACATGTAGCTGGCATCCTAAGTTAGAACTTTGAAAGCATTTCTCTCAATGGCAGTTGGGTTCTGTAGTTCATTATTCACTCAACCAGTATTTGCTAAGTTCTGCTCTGTGACAGGTACGTTTCTAAGTGCTGGGGACACAGCAGTGAACAAAAGATCATAAATCTCTGACCTTGTGGTATTTACATTCTAATGGGGAGTAAAATATATAATGTGTCAGATGGTAATGTGCTATAGAGAAAGAATGAAGTAAGCAGGTTGTGGAGAAGAATAAAGCAGGAATGTGGGGATAAGTTGGTTTGGAGATGGGAGCATGGTGTTGGAATTTGAAGAGGGCAGTGGGGAGACCACCCTGAGCAGGGGCTGAGAGACCTGGGGGGGTTGCGGAGGAAAGCCCAGGAAGAGAGGGCAAGTGTGGGATTAGGTGTGTGGGCCTGGGGGTGGGGGGGAATGAAGAGGGCAAGAAACCTGCACAGAAGGGAGGCATGGTCTGAGCTACACTTGGAATGTTCATTATGGATTCCATGTTGAAAATAGCCCAGGGTGGGGAGAGTGTAAGCAGAGAGAATGGTGGTAGCTTAGAACAGGACAGTGTTCTTAACCTTCCTTTCATTAGCTTTTCATTATATTATTTTCATATTTTTTTCATTATAGAGATCCCTAAGGAGTCTTATAGACATTTTTTACCTGATTGCACCCCCCTGTACCCCCCCACTCCATGACATTTTAATATGTCAGATATAATATGTATCTGTTTATGTAAGTTTGTGTATCTGTGATTTATACACAAAAGGAGCAAGACTCATTTACATCTCCCCCTGAACCAATCTGCACCCCCTTGAGGACCATATTTTGTCTCTTGAGAATGCATGGATTAGGCTGATAACACTGGAGTATGAGATCCATCCACTTGCTTTTCCTAGGAGTTTACAATTATAAAAACTAATCAGGCTGGAAAGAGGTCCCATATATGTAGTTTTATCAATTCAGTACATAGGCAAAAAAACATGAAGGTGTCCAGTGGTTTTTTTCAAAACACACAAAGAAAAAGCAAAAACAAACCCTTAATAACAATATTAAGGTGGTTTTATTCTTTTATGCCCGAAAGCCTGAGATCATATTAGGTTTTTATTCTGTGTAAATCATGATGGTGACAGCTCAAAGAAAGAATTCCTGAGAGATGTGGAAATCTCAGAATAGAATGATTCCAAAAGATGTTCGGAAAACATGTTCTCTGCAAAATATGTGGCAGGAGGATGGGTGTATATATATTTTCTCTAGGAATTCATGCACCACATTGAATTGGAAAGTGTCATAGATTCAGATTAGTATCTCCGGGGATAATTAAAAAGCAATAAGATGTCCATCAATAGATGAATCGATAAAGATGTGGTTCATATATACAATGGACTATTAATCAGCCATCAGAAATAATGAATACTTACCATTTACATTGACATGGATGGAACTGGAGGGTATTATGATGAGAGAGACAATTATCATATGATTTCACTCATATGTGGAATATAAGGAATAGCACAGAGGATCATAGGGGAAGGGAGGGAAAATGGAGTGGAAAGAAATCAGAGAGGGTGACAAACCATGAGAGACCCAACTCTAGGAAACAAACAGAGGGTTGCTGGAGGGAAGGTAGGTGGGGGATGGGGTAACTGGGTGATGGACGTGAAGGAGGGCACGTGATGTAGTAAGTACTGGGTGTTATATGCAACTGATGAATTATTGAACTCTACATCTGAAACTAATAATGTACTGTATGTTGGCTAATTGAATTTAAATAAAAAAATCATTGCTAAAAAAAGCAACAGTTGCTGGTTTTTATGGTTTTATTCTACTCTACTTTTTAAGCAAAAAAGTAAAAAAGTTGTTTGCTTACTCTTTTCTTTTTAAAAACAAACCTAACAAATGAGTTTTAGGATCTTTACTGCTGAGAATTGAATATTATGTTGTTGACAGGTAGTAGAAGACGGGATGTGATTAAATGCATTGTCAAGATCCCTCAGTTGGATTTACTAATAACAGCTTCTCAGAAAGGATTAATAACAGTCTTTAATAGCCAGGTAATTTGATAGCTTTGATTCCCCCCTCTTCCCTCCTCCCTTCCTCCTTTCATTCCTTCATTTGTTCATTTGTTCTTTCCTTCCTTCCTTCTTCTGTCTATGCCTTATGCATATTTATCAGGTGCAACAGAAAACATAAACATATTTCAGAGTTATTCCAAAAAATAAAGCCAGATGTTGCTAAAATGAGAGGATTGCTGAGCCCTGGAGCAATTTTTGAGATTTTGGTAATTGCATTTGGCAGTGTTCCTCAGGGAATCTTTTTTTTTTTTTTTTTAAGATTTATTTATTTGTTTTAGAGGGAGACAGAGCACAAGCAGGAGGGGCAGAGGGAAAGGGAGAGACAATCTCAAGCAGACTCCACGCTGAACACAGAGCCCAATGCAGGGCTCGATCCTACGACCCTGACATCAAGACCTGAGCTGAAAACAAGAGTCAGAAGCTTAACCAACTGAGCCACCCAGGCACTCCTCAGGGAGTCTTACTGAACCATGTGGCATCAGCATAATTAAAGGGTGATCTTGGATAACTTCTTAGATAAAATCAGAAAAACTCACAAGCCAAGCGATTTTGTCATAATCCTAACAAGTATAGAAGGTCCCAACAAGAACCTTGGACTTGGAGTTAAAAGGGGCTCACATTCTGGCTCCTCTATTTTACTAGCTATGCTGTTAAATAGGAAACTTAATAAGCCAACTTACATGTTTTCATGCCTCTTTTCACATTTATGAAATGAGGACACCAGAACTGGTCCTCTTTCCCTCAGAGGGTTGTAATGAATGTAAATGACACAAGGAACATAGAAGCCCTACATGAACGATCAATCCCCATGTCTATGTAGGGCATGACTATTATTGTCTCATAGTTCTAAATTTATAAGTTTTGGGCTTCCACTTCCAAACTATGAGAGATTTTATTGGAATCTATAATGATATACCACACAGTATTTCATTATGAAAATAAAAGTGAATATCAAAAAGTAAATATCAAAGCAAATAATTCCAATTATTAGTTCATTTCCAAGAGACAAGCTTTATACAAGTAAACTATATTTAAGATAATCATTACATGATTAAAATTTCCAACAGTAATGTTTAGCCCTTCAGGGATCAGAACAGCGGGATTCCGTCAGAGGAGCAGGCTGCCTGGGCCCCGGGGAGGGGCGGTGGAAGGTTGCTGGTGTGGATGTGGAGTCTGGCATCCCTGTCCAGCTCGGACACTTGCCACCTGTGCATGTTACCCATTCATCTCCATGTCCCGGCTTCTTTTCTCATTCAGAACTGAGGCTGTTTGAATTAATACGCACAAAGTGCTGAGTTAGCATCACTGTAAGTGCTCAGGAAATGTTGGTAGCTGCAATTATGGACAAATGGTGCGAAAACAAAACTGGATTGCCTCATATAAACATGAAAACATTCCTCGTTCTCTTTTCTCCTTAGTGCCTCATTTCCCTTCTCATTTTCTTACCTTTATTTCCTCAAAAATAGAACTAGGATGGAATGTAAAGAACATGAGAAGAAAAATAATGATCTTCATAATGAAATAGTTTGGGATCATGTGACATAAGTGAGGTGGCATTTTCACTTTTCCAAAGACATCTCTCTCACGCTCACACACACTCATTCACACGTGTTTAGAGGTGCACACATGTATACTCACAAACACACTAACACATCTGTTTCTTACAAAAACCATGCAATTGGAGAGAAAAAATTGCTTAAAAATTACTTGAAGATTTGATACACCAGGAATAAATAGTATTTTGAATGTTGCATGTCTTACAAATAGGATGACACATTCTGTGAAAAAATAATAGGTAAGGTAGGTCACAGGAAAAATTTATTAAAAGGTAGTCATTAATAACACAAAATATCTTATAATAGGTTAATCCATAATTTAGGTTTCCTGTAAAGTAGAATAAACACAGTTAAAGATTTTCAGTGTTCTCGAGAGGGCTTGGTGACAGAGACTGTAAATGTCATTAATAAAAGTTCTTGCAAAAAAGGCTAGATTTTCAAAATTTAGAAAATATCCATAAGGATTATATAACTTTTAAAGATGATAAAAGAAATTTAAACATGTGCTTTCCACTAAGGATGGAAGTAGAGAAATAGGAGAGGAAAACCACAGGAGTTCTATTTTCTGCTCACCAATTTCCTGAGGGCACTTAATTTTTCCTATCAGAAAAAAGTCCCTGGTTGGAAAAGCCTCTTTGAACTCTTCAGATGAAAGACAGTCTGAGATAACAATGATGAACAGTTTCAGTGATCTAATTTACTTTTCCCTCTTTTCACATAATCTATTCCTTCTGGGCAGCCATTTTCTGTACTTTTCCCAAGACCACATGACCATGCAAAAGAAACTAGGTTGTTAATAGACTTCAAATACTAACCTTGACCTTGGCAGCAATTAGCATGCCCTAAGGGGAGAAGAGGCTGCTCAAGTACATTACAGCTCTGCATGGAATAAATCTATGATTCTCAACCAGCACACTACCCTGGCATGAGATTCATGCAATAAATACTTATCCAGTAAAAGAGGAAGCCCACTGGATAGAGTGTCCTTACCTATCTTAGAAACCTGAGAGATAACTTTCAAATGAAATAGTATTTTTCCCCCCACATCAAGCTGTATTCATATTGACCTAGTTAGCATCTTGGCCTACTCTTGCCATTGTTGTTAGTATTATTTTGCATTCCCAATTTTTGATATCCTATGTTGCTCTGAATAACTAAAGAAGGGGAAGCAGTTTGCAAACAGGGAAAAATCATTCATATAGTGTAAGACTCTAAGAGCACAGTCATCAGCCTTAAAGACAAGCCACAGAAGCACCAACCAACCATGTCCAAAGCAAGCGGTGAACACAGAGCCAGGTTTTTGAAGGAAATGAGAAACGGAAGAAACTCACGGAAGGTAGAAATGAGGGGTGAGGGGCGCCTGGGTGGCTCAGTCGTTAAGCGTCTGCCTTCTGCTCAGGTCATGATCCCAGCATCCTGGAATCAAGCCCCACATCGGGATTAAGCCCCGCATGGGGATCAAGCCCCGCATCCGGCTCCCTGCTCAGCGGGAAGCCTGGTTCTCCCTCTCCTACTCCCCCTGCTTGGGTTCCCTCTCTTGCTGTCTCTCGCCCTCTCTGTCAAATAAATAAATAAAAATCGAGAGCCGGAACACAAGCAGGGGGAGTGGGAGAGGGAGAAGCAGACTCCCCACTGAGCAAGGAGCCCGATGTGGGGCTCCATCCCAGGACCCTGAGATCATGACCTGAGCCGAAGGCAGATGCTTAACGACTGAGCCACCCAGGTGCCCCAAATAAATAAATAAAATCTTAAAAAAAAAAAAAAGAAAGAAAAAGAAATGACGAGTGAGATTAAACTGTGGAGATAATGTGCTCTTTTAGAGCCAACATTCTCAATTTTAATTATAGTGCCAACTAGCTTTCATTATTCTCCTTCTTTGTTTATAGATGAGAGTCCAGACCAGCACCAATGTCACGGTAAGTACATTTTGTAAACTCCTAATGAAGTCCGATTTGGGACTGTGGTGATGGTTGCTCCATAACTAATCACAGTCTCAATGCAGTGTCCAATAGGCTCTAAGAATGTTTTCATATTATAAGTCTACTGACTAGGATCAAAACTAAACCTTGAGCAACAGCGGACGACCCTCACCTTGCTTGCTGAAGTTAAATTTATTTCAGAGACGCACCTGGAGACATTACTCCCTGGAAGCTTCCATTTAAGTCTCACCAAAGGTTTCCTGAGCGCCCCCTATTGAGGAACGAAAAAAACCGACACAATCCAAGTTGTGAGAACAAGTAAAGGGCCAAGAGAAATAATTTGAAAACGTTGTATTGTATACTTGAAATTTGCATAAAATTTTTGAGTCCGATTTTATTGAATCCATATTGCTAATTGGGGACGTGAAGTTGCAGTAGCTGCAAAGCTATGATGAGTTGCTTTCAGAGTCCCACGATGGCTTTGTGAGAGATGGAGACATGCTTGCCTTCTCACCCTGCTGACATGCACTGAATGCCCTGAACTGCACAGGAGGGCACCAGGCCACTGGCAGACGAGCCTGCCTTCTCTCTGAGCCTCTGAGCCTTTGCTTCTAAGGCTGAAACAAATGTTAGAATTCCTAACGTAGGTCTGAAATGCATGCAGCGGGAGTGTCTGACATGGTAGGCACTCCTAAATGGGAACTGTTGTTCTTGCTTCATCGTGTGTCATTGACATGACAGATTCCACCCATGCCAACTTGGTGACGTTAGGCAACGCAAGACAAACTCATCGGGCTCAACTTGGTTATTGACCAGATGATCACTAAGGTCTTTTCTAGCTAAAAATTTTATGCATGGGGACAGGGCCAGAGAACTGGCTTAATCCAGCCTCCCCACGTCCCCAGGAATAGGTGTTCTCAGGAAAGTGAGGAGTGCACAAAGACGCCTACTCTGCTGGTGACTCTGTGCCTCCAGGGAGCTGCAACAGGCATGAGCTCATCATTCTCCAGCCGGTGGTGCTGAGAAACTCAAGGTGAGGGTCAAGGTGCGAAAGATGAGAGCGTCTCCTCCAGACATCAAAGAAGAGACATTGCAAGGCTCCCCTGCAAGGAGGGGGGCAAAGTGGGGCTTTTCATGTAACTAACCTACTCTTTAGTAACCATCGCCATGGGACTGACCAAAACATATTAGCCCCCCTCTCCCAATTCTGTATTTTTCCCTCAGGACACCTCCTGGATCACAGGATGTGATTACCTCTCACAGCTGAAAAGAATCGTTGCCACTACAGAAAGGACCATCATTGTCTGGGATTATAAAGCTCAAGGCAGTGGCCAGGTACTGTGCCAACAAAAATGCTCCAAGTACTAAGGTTGTCTTTTCCATCCTGGTAGGATGTGAGCAATCCACTTCCTCTACTGAATGTCAGTTCCTCATATATAAAATGAGGGGGTTTAACTAATAGAGTTCATCATTAATTTTCTGTGAGGCTAATTAAAAAGGAAGATTCTTTCCATTTGGTGCATATTTAATTTGGTGATACTTGTTTTGTTTTTGAGAGAGAAAGAAGATAATTCTTTCCTTCTTTCATACCCTTCTCTTAATTCTAGTATTAGCTTTTTGATTATGCTCATGTTATCAAGTTCAAAGCCTTTCTCTTCAGTTCAGCTTCATTTGGTAAGAAAATTACTAAAAATCAAATGACTAATTCTAGCAAAATATCTAATGGGGCAGATGCCAATGTTATTCCTTCAGTGGCTGAGATGTTACCACTTACGTAATTTACAATATTTATCGAGTATTTACAGACATATAGAAGTAATGAACGTGTTCCCTGCACTCAAAGAAAACTCAGTCTTGAAAGATCTCATAAAAAAACATAATATATAATATAATGGTACAGCAAATTTTACAGTAAAAAACCAAAAAACAAAAAAACAAGAGCAATAGGAGTTCAGGGAGAGGCAAGATTATAAAAAAAATGCCCTCAGGAAGTGGGCTGACTCTGAAGGATGAGGAGGATTCAGAAATAATTAAACTTCCTCTGTGCCCTACTTGTCCCTAGGCTCAGTGAAAACCCAAACTTCTCATTCCTGTGTCCATTGCTATAACCAGCCAGTGATGCCAGGATGACTTTAAAGAATGCGGATTGTTGCCTAATGTCCTTTATTATGTGATGTGTACTGTCTTATGGTCTGCAGTTTGATTGCAACATCTTCTCTGTCCAGCTCTCTCCAGTTTTCAGTCTTGCATTTTCAGCCCCATAGAAGCCTCCAGTTCCTTGAGAGCATCCTCGTCCACTCCCAGTCCCCTTCCTCTCCTCTTTTTGCTTTCCTGCCTGCACTGCCTGGGCAGAGATCATCTGGGCTGAAGCCATCCCCACTTTCCATTCTCTTAAATCCTTTGAAACTCTAGTCCTGTTGAGATGTGACAGCCTGTCTCTGCGCCTTCACGGGGGCTCAGCCCTCCTGGAGAAAACACGAAGCCACCGCTCTTCAGCATCACTACAAATTCAGGGTCCTCAGACTCCTCTGAGGATTCACTGGCTTCTGTCAACTTCTTTCTTGTCCTTGCCAAGTTGCTTTCCCATCCCTGGCAATATTCCAAAAGGCCATTACTGTCCTCAGGCTCTCTCCCTCTCAGCCAAGATGGACTTGCCCCTATTTTCCTGAGAAATTTGAATCTATGAGGCTTGTCCTCTTCCAAATTCCAGCTCTGCCACCTACAGCTTCATTGAGGACACCCTACTTCGTTTCTTCCTTTCTCTCTCTGGAGGCAAAATATCCTTGCATCCGTCACTCCCCTTCCCCCCTGCCTCGTGCAGGACAAGGCTCTTCCCTTTCTATCTTTTTGACATTCATCTCTCTTTCTGGGTTCCTCCTTTCAACCGCCTCTGAATCTTTCTCTGGACCAGTTCCTGTGCCAAATCAAAGGTCACCTTCCCAGACCATGGGACCTACAGTGGCTTCTCTGGTCATTCTTTATCATAGCACCTTGCTTATTTCCTCAGTGCACTTCCCATGATCTGAAATGATCTGCTTTTTTTTTTTACTTGTATTCCTGCATTAGAATGGTAGTTCCACAAAGTCAGAAACTTGTCTTGTTCATCACCGTATGGCCCATGCCTAGAATAGTTCTTGGCACATCGTAGGTGCTCAGTAATTATTTGTTGAATGACTGAATGAAGCTCTACATATGTTCAAATCTCACTCATTCTAGAGGAAACAAAACAAAATAATTTTAAAATATCTTTTTCTTCTATCTTAGGTAGAGACTCAATTCTGGAAGAGCCCTGGCTATATAGCTTAGTGAACCCAGCCCAATAGCCCAGGGTCACCTTGACAAATGCTTGCTGAATATTTCTGGATAAACTTGGATGTTAGGATATGTTTTTCCTGATAACTTCTTGTGACATAATTGGGGTGTTAATACTTGATTTTCCCTTTCCCATACAGTTTTATGTCAATGGTCTTATAATGCCTGAACCTTTTTATCCTTCCCATTAATATTGCCTTACAAATCCAAGAGAGGGACATTCATAGCAACCAAACAGAAAATCTCATTAATGTATTGAACCAGAGTTCCTCACCTTTTTCCCCACAAAGCACCCAAAAACACAATATTGGGCTCACAGTGACATTAACTTTTACTTGGTTAACTTTTTTTTTCAAGTTTCTTTAACACGGTGGGAATATCTAAAATTAAAAATATCATAAAATAAAACTTTTATCAAATAATAGGATAATATTTAACATTGGATATTTAGAGCAATGTAATAACTTATTAAAAGCATTCTTCTGTTTCTAGGAAAACTATTTTGTCATAAAGCCTATGGATCACTGCCTCCTTTGTGTGTGTGTAGTGTCTCTGCCCGACCAGCTCTGCAGAGATGATATCCTTTTGGGGGATGATGGTGGTTTTGTGAACAAATTCACCATAAATAGTGATGACTTTGGACTAAAGCAGGCAAAATCCAAAAAAACACTACAAAGCCAAGTCTTAGACTCAAAGAACTTTAAAAGGTAAGGGTATTACATGGGCAGTTCCATTTTTCTAATATAGACAGTGTATGGCATGGGCATGTCTTTATAATTGTACTGTCTTTGAAGTTTTTATAGTAATTATATATTACTTTTATTAGCAGAGAAACAAATTTTGTATTAAATATATCCTCTTAATCAAAGAAGTACAACTTAAAATCAGATACAATTTCACATTTCTAACATTGGAAGGGATTGAAAATGGGGTAGATTTGGGGCGCCTGGGTGGCTCAGTCATTAAGCATCTGCCTTCGGCTCAGGTCATGATCCTTGGTTCCTGGGATCGAGCCCCACATCAGGCTCTCTGCTCAGTGGGAAGCCTGCTTCTCCCTCTCCC